TTTCTGCAAATGAATGACATTTATACATTTCATTCATTTTCATTCTCTTTTGAAAATGAATCCCAAAAGACCTACCTTGAATATCTAGGCAGGCGAGGAAGACGGTCTTTTCCACACCTTGCTTTGGTTTTTTCGTCTTCGGTTCAAAATGGTGTACCCACGTTTCATCTACGGTTACTAAATGAGCGCAAAAATAATCTGGATATTCTTCAATTGTTGCTAAATTTAGTTTTGAAATGTCAACTCTTGCTTTCTTTTGGGTTTCTTTTAACATTCGAGCTTTTTTTAACATTTAGCTTTTTTTAACATTCAAGGAACCCAGCGCGCAGCCATTTTTTTAAATTTTAAGGTATGAGTTAAAATAAACTGAACTTTCTCAAACAAAAGCTTTAGAATATCAGTTAAATAACGGACAGTCACACGTTGACTTTACACTAAAAAATTTCGATTTTTTAGAATTGTTAGAATCAAACAATTCTTAAGCTTTCCTAGATGTTTTAGTTATCCGAAATCCTGATAACACTATTGGTCACACTATGTTTAGGAAAAAGACTCATACCAACGATATTTAAATGGTGAATCGCACCATCATCCATCACAGTTAGCTACTTGTTTTAGAGTTTCAGAGAGCTTTAGCATGTCAAACAAGTATTGCAAGACAAGGTTCGGATCCCGCGCCTATGTCACAGTGACCGAGTGAAGCCGGCTACAGTCAAGCGTGTGCCTGCTGTACTATCCTATGTCAGAGGAGTCACAGACAAGGTTGGCTACATCTCAATGCGAGCTTCCATTAAAACTAACTGTGGTCTCTCTTACATAACATACCAATTTCTCGACTCCACAGAGTCAGTAATTCATTCTTGGAGCAATGTATACGCTGTATACATTGCTCCAAGAACTGCTACAACAAGGTCCCGGAAAGTGTACAGGCTCTCTCTATTACCAAGATTAAATGTCTTGTTAAGCTGAAACTCTATAAAGAGGGTTATTATAGTATAAAAGAATACATGGTTGTTAATAACCTCTGGGATTGCGGTGGTTGCGGAAGATATATGAAATAATAGAATTTTTTCCTTAAAAAAAGGTACGATTTATTTCTTAACTCATTTCACGTTGCTATGCTATTTTGAAAATTTTATTGATTCGTCGATTCAGCGAAATACGAGTAAATGTTTTAGGATGCCAAGGCCAAGAAATAATTTTTCTTTCCTTATTTCTTGGCCTTGGCATCCTAAAACAATCAAAAATATTATTGATTTTCAGCATAACACTATCATTGAACAGTGAACCTGGATCGTAAGGTACACAGTGAACCGGTTCGCTGTGTACTATGCGAACCTGGTTCACTGTTCAATACACACACTATTTAACTTATAATATTTTAAAAAAATAGGTTGTAGGCTGAATTGTCACAAAGCAATATGCTCATAAAACGTCTAAAACTACAACAATATCGACACCATAAAGCTTTTGGTGCTAGAATTAATAACAAAATATATAAAAATGGAGACACGTGAGAATTCTATGTTTTTTTGGCGAGAAACAAACAAACCACTGTCAAACGTCACACTCAAGCCGCGGCCACCGGCTAAGCACGGGAGAGGGGAAGGGTGCCCACGAGAAAAGTTTTAACTTGATCGGTCGAATTGCCAACCTCGCAGTTTTTTTTTATAGGATATGGTGACAAACGAGCACACAGTCCACCTGATGGTAAGTGGTTGCTGTGGCCCATAGACATCTACATTTATCTTCGTTTGCGAATCAAAATGCAGATGCGTTGTCACCCGTGAGGACTAAGATGGAATGCCTCTTTTCCAGTAAAAAGGGTCTCCGGTTCTCTACACTCACCATACGAAACACAGCAGTGTTAAGCTGCTATTTGACGCTGGTATTCTGTGAGAGCGTGGTCCTTCCCCGGACGAGCCGACCCATTCGTGCTACAACTATACTACCAATACAGCTGCAGCATGGCTCTACCACGTTTAAAACATGGTGGTGAACACGCAGTTTTTTCAACATGGTGGTGGTTCAATGTTCCTGGTTGGTTCACTGTTCAACAACCGACCCTATTATTATATATTTATCTAAAAATATTTAAAAAATGATATGGAGTACTTTTAAATTATATGTACGTTATAGAGCAAAGTTACAATTTATCTACTCACCCTGCCTCCCCCCTTATGTGCCCCTAGAAGTGACCCGACTCGCACTTTTTTCCAGTTTTAAAGAAAACACATACATGAAAAGTGAGTAGATAAATAAATTTGCTATCAACCTCTTAAACTTATTAATCAATTAGTATATATACATTATACAAGCTGGACAGGCAGACTTTGTTCTGCCCTTTCCGATGACCCTTGATCTTTTAAAACACCTAGCAGTAGCAATAAAAATATTTAGGTTGGAGCAAGGAATACACATTTACAAAATTTTATTGAAATCAGTTCAGTAGTTTAGGAGTTCATCGCGAACAAACAATGTTACACGTAATCTTTATGTATAAAGATATATATAATATACTATATTATCGTTTGCGCTTCAAACTGGAACACAGCAGTGGCCACGGGCCGCTGTGTCCGATTTTGATATTCAGTTTCTAACATTTAAATATGAGCGTCAGAGATCTAAAGAAAACTCATGATTGGTATACTATATTACATTATATACTATAGTTAGCATTAATTCAGCTTCTAAATAAAATTGAATCTTCAAAAGTTCCCCTTTTTCGGGCCTCTTTATCTATATTTATCTGTTACAACCGCAGACGAACGTTACGATAAGATACCATCCACGAAATTATGTTCCGAACGGGATTTCTCTTTACAAAGTCATTTTAATAATTTTGTCATTCATTTAGATTGTTATTCTGATTTCTATAATCTGAGCTAAATTGGGAAGCCGTTTAGGCAACCCATTTGCAATAACTGTTATTTATTACTTTAATTTAAACGTGGTAGAGCCACACTGTAGCTATATTATGGTTGTAGCACGAATGGACGGGGGAAGTACCACGCTCTCACAGAATACCAGCGTAAAAAGCAACTTAATGCTGCTTTGTTTCGTATGGTGAATGTAGATAACCGGAGACCCTTTTTACTGGATAGGAGGCATTCCATCTTAGGCCTAAGGGGTGACAACGCATCTGCATTTTCATTATTGAGGTCTTCTGTGGATGTCTATGGACCACAGTATCCACTTACCATCAGGTGGACTGTGTTCGTTTGTCACCCTTATTCTATAAAAAAAAGCTGGACAGCTAACAAAGATAGAGCAATAATTAAAGAATACGTACGTATATATATACGTAAGTGGGTTTTAGTAATAACTTTCAAAGAATCCTCTCATCCAGTCCTTGCCAATTTATCAGTGCCCTTTGGCTTGTATCGAGTTTTTAAATTCCACGAATACTAATTATATTACAATACACATGTACTAAATATTAATAACTGTAATGTAAACTCCCCAATATTTAATGTGGTAATGTAGTGTCCTAAACTCCCTGCTTATTGGACAAGTACATTAATTTACTTGTGATTTATATAGAATGTCCTAGTAATCTGGTACGTACGTGTTCGGGCGGGGGGGGGGGGGGAGGTGGCCTCGGAACATGTTAACAAATCTATTCACAATGTTTTTAAACACCTACCTACTGTTACCGCCCGTTTTACTAGCGTAAATTAAACTTCAGTGATAACTAAACAAAATGTAGACTCAACTAATGTTGCAAAATTCCTAGGTATATTAGTAGACAGCAGGCTCACTTGGAAACCTCATTCCGAAGGCGTTTGTAACAAATTGAGCAGGTTAGCCTATGTGCTGTATTACCTATCACATAAAGTAAACAAAAGTACACTCCTGACAGCTTATCATGGACTTGTTGCGCCAATTTTAAGATTCGGAGTAATATTTTGGGGCAATTGTAGTGAAAGGGAGGAGATTTTCAAGGCCCAAAAACGCTGCATAAGATCTATGTCAAATCTAACATCTACAGACAGCTGTGAGTCTGTGTTTAGGTCACTAAGAATACTTACCTTCCCGTGTTTGTATATTTTGGAAGTTGCAATTTTTGTTAAAACTAATTTAAATTTATTTCCGTCACAAGCCGAGATGAGAACTCGTTCAGGTCCTATGAGAACACAGTATAAAAACTTATTACATACTGGTAATTACAAAACAGCACTGATTAGAAAAAATATCATGTCAATGGGGCCTATAATATACAATAAAATTCCGGACACTTATAAAGAACATCCTATAAGAATATTTAAGTTTAAGCTGACTGCATTATTATTGGAAAAATGTTATTATTGTTTAAAAGACTTTCTAAATGATAAATATGTATAAAAATACTTTAAAATACCATTAACGAGAATTTACATTATATATGAATGACATATTACTGGTTAATTTGCTATCAGAATTGTATCTTTTAGTTTTTATGACTTTGCATGCCGTAAGGTAGAATGTAGCGGAAACACTTACTAATGTACCATCTTATATCTGTACCTACATTGTGGCAAATAAAGAATCTGAATCTGAATCTGAATCTAACGATAATAAGATAACGTGACCATGGGTGCTGTAAAATTAAAAAGTTAAAATTAAACGCGATAAAATCCGTAAACTTAGTTTCATTTAATGTTGAGCGACAACTGCTACAGAAAGTATCTTGTGAAATTTATGATTTACTGAACAACTCCCAGCGACAGGTGTAACCATCTCGTAATATACCAAATGCAAACGATCCAGAACGAAAACGACGAGCAACGTCTCAATTAATTTTGGTACAACGTAATGTCTTTGGGGCCAAAGTTAACTTTGACTGATATTCCTTTACTGTTATCTTCACTCGGTGTAACATTCGAATAAAGTTAATTTTTTTGTTATAACCGAACAATTCTCTATTAAAAGGGTTATATTCAAGGGACTTCAAAGTAACGTCGTTATAACCGAAAAGTCGTTAAACCCGGAGTCGTTATTAACGAAATTCACTGTATATCTCAATGTTCCGACATCGTAGAAGAAGTATGGGATGTCCCAGGCCGGCCTTCACTAGAGCTGTTAGCAGATGAAATTTCTATGGCTATTTTTAGTACTTCTGAACGGAACAGTAATTTTTGGTGGGTAGTAAAAGTTTGCATGATCGGCAGAAGCGAACAAAAAAATGACAGATCATCGTTCTGTATCAGTTTTGTGTTTTCTTTAAAAATATTCAACATTTCTTTCCCAAAATTTTCGTCTTCATCAGGAATTCTCTTACGCTTTCTATACACATTTTTCCGTCTACTTGCAGCTGTTTCATTTGTTCGGGAAGTGTTGAGACCCTCAAACGTTAAAGGCAGAGCATTTTGGATTGATGAAGTGCTTGACGAAGAACCTTCTCCTGTATCAATAGTTGGTGGCTCGCTATTTGCTCGGGATTCATTAACTGTGTCCTGACTTGTTAAAATTGAATCTTCTGTGTTAACTACTTGATTTTTGTCTAAAAAATGCATACAGTCAAAAAATACATATTTCTTAATGTTTCCACCTCCAGATCCAGATTTTATATTCTTCAATGTGGCTTTGCTCCTTACGTAGGCATCGCGCGCAGTTTTCCACCGCTGTCGTACTTGTTTTTCTGTAAATACAAAGAGTTTGATGGACATAACAAGAATATATTTAACTATAGATTAAGCCGTGCTAGAAGGTACATTGAGTCTACATTTGGAATAATGAGTAATAAATTTAAGATATTTAATAGACCAATGAATACTTCCTTGTCGAACACAATAGCAATTATAAAGGCGTGTTATGTGTTACATAACTACGTTGAGCCGCGTATCCACCGAAAATGTTGAAAACATTTATGTTTCCAACTGTTTGCAACTCAGCAAAAGTTACCAACATTTGATATCGATGTTTGATGTGATAATGTGAAACATGTCGCCAACAATTTGAGAAACATTTTATTTGACAACTTGCTGTCTCCACAAAAGTTTTGTTGGCAACAATATGTCTTCAAGTGACGATATTATGCTGCCTGCAGTATTTATAATTTTATGCAAAAGAAACACCAGTAGTTATGGAGTTATCCTTAATAATGCGTACTTTGATTATACACGTCATGATTATAGACATGTATATAATCAAAGAATACGTATTAATATTGAAGTCGGTTATAGGCAAAATTTTTAACTTCATTAGTTGTCTCTTTTCCTCTCTTTTTAAAAAACGTTACCTCCACATTAGGATTTTCTCCTGTATCGCAGGGACAGTTTACATACGTAGAACAGACCTAGAACAATTATTTGTAAGCCATACAAATACTTGTTCCGTCCGGGATTCGAACCCGCGGCCCTTAGTGCTGCAACTCATTACTAAACCACTGCGCCACGGGGCCGTCACTTGTCTGTTTCACATTTTTTGCTATTTACAAACATGCGATACGCGACTTCATTATTAATGAAAGAGTGGCAATGAGAAGTATTAAACATTCTACCAGTATATGCTGATCTTGAATTAGTAGGCCGTCACTAGTAATGGGAGGTGTACTTACGCTGAACGAATTTTTAAGGTCATTGGCATTATACGCGAAAAAATCGAATAATCACATCATAATAAATCTGTAACTAAGGCGTCATAACTAAGTGCCAAATTATCTAGATCTACCTATAAATGATAATATAATTTTGATTACACACATCCCATAATATATTTTGTGAACGGTATAAATTATCTAATTAATGTGTCGATTAACTCGTTCGTCCACGTTGCCGACAAATGTTTCCAACAAGCGTCTCCACAGAGGGAACAAATGTTTGCAACAAGCGTAATCCGCCGAAAATGGAAACACGGTTCTCGACATTGTTTACAAGTTTTGTTGCCAACATTAGGTAATTACAGAAACATTTGTCACCAACACGTGTTGACAATACAAAAGTTGGTAACAAAACTTTGGTGGAGACTCGGCTTTAGGAAACCAGAGTAGAGGACACGCTAACTGTTGAAGGGTGTGTATATTATAACCGCAACGTAAACCATAACATCACGTCAGGCGATATGATAAGGGAAAAATGATTTCGTTTCTCCTGATGTTAGTGTATCATGGCAAGATGCTTGTATCTTCTAATAAACTCATAATATACATAAATGCAGTTTTATTTACTCACTTACCTATAAGTTTTTTCTCATTGTCTGATAGTTCGTCGTAGTTTTGAGTTATTGCTTGGCAAACTTCTAGCCAAGCTTTTATTTTCGCATCACGGTCTTTGTAGTGCTCACAAGAGAGATCCCACAACTGCGGGCGAAGATGCACCTCAGAAATAACACGCTCGGTATCAATGTTCATTTTTGTTCTCTATAATACGTACGCGCGTACGGTCGGTCGCTCTGTCAGCGTCGCACTGAACGCGCGCATGTACCTCCATAGCGCGTCAGTCAACCGACGAGCTCGATCGACGGTCCTCGTACGCGCGACGTGGCCGTACGCGCGTAGTACTTCACCAGTGCTGCACTGTAACCGTTAATAGGTTTTCATTGATATAGCTATCTATATGAAGTAATGTACTCTGTGATAGCTACGCTCAACCGATGACAGCGCTCACCGTCGGTCGAGCACTAAATCCAGCCAAATGTAAATTACAATTTTAAATCACAAAGAATCTGAACAAAGTGATTCTAATATGTATTTAAGAATATGTAATTCGCTGTTGATAAATTTTAATTCACTTAATAAACAAATTCGTATACCGATAATAGCCTATGGTTAGAGTTATGAAGTAGTATTATTAATGTTAAAAGCATTACTAATATTCTTTTATAAAATCGTATTGATATATTTAAACAAGCTATTTACCCGCAGTTTCGCTTACGTAGTCTTCAATTTAGGAATTAATACTATCTCGTGCCAAAATTAGCTAAGTTGGAACATTTGTAAAGTCCCCTCGGTTTCTGTACCCTATATCTTTGTGTTACATTTTTTATTCTCAGAGACCATTGGCTTACTACAGATAATTAAAATTTGGTATAAATATAAAACGCTTGAGGAACACATAAGTGAGTTTTACAAAATTGCATTAACTTCACACGTCTAGCAACACCTACAATTTTTTTATATCTGGCTAGTCTCCCAATGTAGGATACATGAATGGTAAATTTTCTTGGAATCAGAATTGCGAGATTTACGTTATCCTCATTACATGTATTCATAATTGAAGTTAATTTTGTTTCAACAAAAAATTTTTCAATTTCATTAACGGCATAATGTTGCTTGCGATATTTGACTCATATCACTGGCACCATCGAATATTAGGTCTTTACGTATGAAATTGCATTTTTTATGAAATAAGTTAACATAATTCTTCTCTATATTTTTATTTTTGTTAATCAAAGTACCCATGCAATTTAAAAATAAAGTTTATTGATGAAAATCAGTTGAGTGGGAGGCAACAAATTATTCAAAGGCATTTTGTACTGCCTCTCGGATATTGAATTCTTTTGTGTTTATAAATGTATATATATATATATATATATATATATATATATATATATATATATATTCTTATTATGTATATTTTATTTCATTATGTGTATATTTATATATCTTTATGAGTTTACATACATCTGACATTATAAAATATCTACTTAAGTATTATACATTTTTATTATCTTATTATTTTTATTATAATTTATTTCATATATCTTTTTTTATTCTTGTGATGTACCATTTATATCTTATGTGTTTTATTTCCATGTATTACATTTTTTTTTGTTATTTTAGTTTGGTATTCGCATTTACTTTTTATTCTATATCTGCATCATCCCAAAGTAGACTGGTAGAGAATGCCTTAGGCATTAAGATCCACCTATATACCACATGTGTATATGAATTTTTAAATAAAAAAATAAAAATCAAAAATAAGCATATGTGTGGCGAAATAATTCAATTGTTTAAGCCAATCAAGTAAAAAGAATCATAATTTAAAGTTGCTTAGCTCCTCATACCGTTATTTTTTTTTTTTTTATAGGATAAGGGTGACAAACGAGCACACAGTTCACCTGATGGTAAGTGGTTGCTGCGGCCCATAGACATCTACATCTATCCCCGTTTGCGAATCAAAATGCAGATACGTTGTCACCCGTGAGGACTGAGATGGAATGCCTCATTTCCAGTAAAAAGGGCCTCCGGCCACCTGCACTCACCAAACGAAACGCAGAGGTAAACCTCTACTTCACGCTGGTATTCTGTGAGGTCGTGGTACCACCCCGGTTTGAGCCCGCCCATCCGTGCGACAGTAAAAGCTGCCGCGTGACTCTACCACTGTTAACTAAACTTCGGCTGAATAATATATTTGTTAAATATATTATTCAGCCGAAGTGCAAGATATTCGTAATGTTTTCTTAATATCAAGCTTTTCCTGTAAGGAGCAAGGTATATTGCAGTTATTTTGTTTGTGATATTTGTATATGGTACAGATAAACGGAAATAACGTCTGATGCGTTGATACACAAAAGTTTTTCAAATGGATAAAACTCTTGTTTTTTTTCATAGAGCAAACTGTTCGGGAAAAAATTATTTTTATTTTATTATGATTTAGCATTGAAAAATACATAAAACTTCAAATTTTCATTCTTTTACCATCAACTGATTTTTAATCACGATTTTTAAAACTAAAAAATATTTCTTAGAAATCTATACTTAATATAATAAAGCGGAAGAGTTTTTTTGTTTTTTTGTTTGTAATCGCTAATCTCTGGAACTACCAGTCCGATTTGAAAAATTATTTTTGTATATAATAGCCAGATTCATGTGGAATAGTATACGCTATCTCAATACCTCATACCTCAACCTATAACTCTCAACTAGCCTTAAATATTGATTTTTGTTAAGCAAGTCGGAAGAAAAGGCGTTGCTTTATCCGCGTGCGCTGACGTAACGTTTAGTTTTACATAAATACAATATTCTACAAAAATATTGGTCTTTGCCCCACCTAAAAAAAAATTCCGTGCTACCATATGCCTATTTCTTATACATAAGCCGCAATAAGTATTTTGTGACAAAAAATTATTCAAAATTAAAAAGTGATTTATGAGCGTTATTATTTTTTTTTAAATTCTCTGTTACTGCTGCTATACATGCAGCACCATTTGTCACTATCGTTGTTTATTTCGTATACTTATATATCCTTTTTTTTTAACATAACTTTAGATATGCTTATTACTTATATCCTACTAACTCTTATATACTTCCTAACTTAAGATTTAACTACTTTTGCTTTCTTTTTTTTTATCCTTATCTTTTACTGTTTACAATTGTATGTATTCTTATGTATGTATTCTTACAATTATTAAGTTATATAAAATATGGTACTTAAATTAAGTTAAATTAAGTTATTAAGTGCGCCACCCGTTATCTAATATAATATACATCTATATCTAACATATTTTGTTATATTTTCTTTCTTCTTTTTTTTATTTTTTTTTTTATATTTTTTTATTTTTTTGCCTTTTTCCTTTTATATTTCTTTTCTTTTCTCTATGTAGCATATTTTTTTTTGTTTTTATTGCCAATGCTTTTCTTATGAATTTCTGTTTTTTCTTTCCTTCCATTTTTTTTATTTTTTTTATATATTAATTTTCCTTGGCTATATATTATACATATTATTATGTTGTTATGGAATACCATTACAGCAAGTACTATTTACAACCATTTCCTATACTATATTATACAATAAAAAGTATTTATTGCTCTATATGTTTTTATTAATTGCTCGTCTACATTTATTATTAATATCTAACACATTTAATATTATATAATTATTAATCTACATTTTTATAATTAAATATCTACTTTCGATCCATTTGCTTTTCCTGCACACCTAACGACATATTCTGCATATTTAAGAAAATGGATACGGCAGTCATCATTGTTAATTACATACTTTAAATTTGTTATATTGATTGCAATTCCCATCTCATGCTCGCATTCCATTCTTTGAATAGTGAATCTAGGACAATCTATTAGCAGGTGTTCAATTTTTTCTTCTATTTCATTACTGCAAACACAAGATGGGGATTGCGCCAACTTGAACTTAAACAAATAAGCCTTAAATCCTCCATGACCAGTTAATAATTGAGCTTTAATATTGTCCATTCTTATCTGTTTCAGTGTCTTGTGAGCTTCTCTTACGTCAGGGAAGAAAGTTTTCGTGACTGCTCCTGTTGCTGCTTCGCTATATCGTTGCTGCCACTTCACGCAGGTAGAGTCCCTGGTTAGTCGCTTCGCGAAGGATAGCGGACACTTGTCATAAACTGGTGCTTGTTTGTTGGATAGTGCAGCCTTTTTGGCAAGCTCATCAGCCCTTTCATTGCCAGGTATACCGATATGTGCCTTTATCCAGTAAAATTTAACCTCGCCGTTTTTATTTACTAATGATCTTATGCGCTCTCGTATTTCAGCTGCCAAAGGATGAAGGGACGAACTGTCCGTTAGACACTCTAGAGCTGAACGTGAATCGCTTAGGATTATTCCTTTCTTCAATTCGCCGAATTTGCACATCATATCTAACGCTTTTAATATTGCGGTAAGCTCTGCCTGATAAACGCTACAATAACTTTCTAGCCGAAAGGTAGACTTACGTATTTCGCTGCCATCTTTCCATACACTGACAGCGCCACCAACTTTCCCTTCCAGCTTGCTTCCATCCGTATATAACCTTGGCTTTAGGCAGTCTATTGCTTGTTCCTGATCTAGAGAGCTTATCAGCTCAAAAGACATGCGACATCTTTCAGCAGGATGGGGTAGGCAAAAAGGACTTATTGGTTTTTCGATGTCTCTTCCCGGAAGTTGGTCCAGTGGCTTTCCTTGTTTTATTTCGTAGAGCGAAAGTCGTTCCATTGCTCTTAAGTCGAGAGGGAATATTCCTGCCAGTATAACGCTAGACGTGAAAGAGACTGTTCTGTGACCTTTACAGATTTTGATTGCGAACATTCTTGTTATGCGCTCCAGTCTTTTCTTCATATATTCTTTTTTCACGGTCATAGCCCAGACATTTGCTGCATAAAGAATGGTTGGTTCAACTACTGCTATATATATTGTTTTTACTATATCAGAATGAAGTCCCCAATGAGCTTTAGCTGTTCTTGCTATCATTTTGTAAATTTTTATTGCCTTCCCGAGGACTTCATCTAGATGTTCTACGAAGTTTAAATTTTTATCGATGGTGACGCCAAGTACTTTTAGACTTGTAGATGGTTGTATAATAATTTTGTCCATTTTAATTATAGGTAATTCGTAAGATAACTTTTTGGTTATTACGATAGATTGTGTCTTATGTGGTGCAAAATTTAATTTGTGCGTTTTGCCCCATGTTACTATTTTCTCTAAAGCTGGATTAAGTTTGTCTTCTACATCTTTTGCTGAGTTTCCTTTTGCGATGATAGAATATCGTCAGCAAATGCCTGAAGATGTACATCCATATCTGAACTTAATTCAAGAAGGGGGTCGAGAAGGATGTTCCAGAGTATGGGTCCACAGGTCGATCCTTGTATGCATCCTTTAGTTGTAGGTTTGGTGGCTATTGCTCCTGCATATTTCACTATAACACTCCTTGAAGACAGATAGCTGGTAATGAGCCTTAGGTTGTGTATGTTCACATTTTTCCTTTGGATTTCTTTTATTATTTGGGGCCACCAAGCATTGTCAAAAGCCCCTTCTATGTCGAGGGATACCATAACAACTATCTTCTTTTCTTTTATGCCTTGTTTCATCACTGTCATTATGTCATATAGTGCGTCCTCTGTACTACGTTGTGGCATAAAACCATATTGTCGATTGCTGAATTTTCCTTCCCTTTCAAGCTGCCAGAGTAATCTGCCTACAAAGAGCTTTTCTAAAATTTTTCCAAACACTGGCAACAAGCCAATTGGACGATATGCTTTAGGTACAGTATAGTCTACTTTTCCAGGCTTCGGAATAATTTTTATGATTGCTTTTTTCCATATCTTTGGGAAATAGCCTATTTCAAGACATTTATTATAAATAGCCAAAAGGATCGATGGTGTTGTTTTATAGCTCTCATAACAGATATCCGAGGTCATACCATCCTCCCCAGGAGCCTTTTTGGGATTCATTTTTTGAAATACCATCTCTATTTCTACTTCAGTGAATTTTATATAAGTAGTATCTGTATAATTTTTGAGGCTTCTAATGATTATATCAACTTCCGCTCGGATGTTTCTTTGTTCTTCAGTATCTTTATTATAGTCATCATCAGGGTAGAACGTTTTTGCTTTCACGAGCGTTATTATTAGGCATGTCATAAACGAAAGTTAATTCATCATCAAGACAATTTTATGAAGATAAACTTTGCTTTGCTTATATAATACGCGGGTGAAACCGCGGGGCACAGCTAGTAATGTATATGGTAAAACAAGGTTTGCCGGCTCAGCTCTTTATAGATTTTAATCTATTGTGACACCCAAGTTCTTGATTGTTTGTTACTCTGTCTATTTGGGTGCAGTTTCATCTAGATAGAACCCAGAAATAATTCGAAACGGTGAAAACACCGAAATGGGTGAGGATAGCCTTTAAAAAAGTAGTTTTTAGACTTGCAGCAGACACACCTTACCAGATAGAATCGCATCTCGGTAACTTTTACTCTTTGACCTATTTCTAAGAAATATTGCGTCTATTGCATTTAGAAATAGCAATAGAAATAGCTTTTTATTTAATATAGATTATAAGTAATACTTATTGAAAGTCATTTCTATGTTTAATTTACCAATGGTCTGAAAAATACCTCTGTCATGGAAATATCTAGCAAGATACCGTTAACAGTTTACAATCATATTTATATTATATTTCACAATTAACTATATAAGTCATATTAGAAATAATAATAATAATAATAATTTAAAAAAAATTAATGACCGCGCCAGGCTCCACTGGGACCTGGCCATCATCACAGACAGGACTATACTTGCGAATAAGCCTGATATTGTGCTGATGGACCGGGCACAGTCAAGGATATTTTTGGTCGACATTACCATTCCTTATGACGAGAACCTCGTGAAAGCTGAAACAGATAAGTTGACAAAATATCTGGACCTGGCTCACGAGGTGACCGACATGTGGGGTGGACTGCCGGCCGAAATTATACCTGTAGTCGTCTCTGCGAATGGGTTAATTCCAATCAGCCTCTCAGGTCATCTGAGGCGACTGGGACTCCGTGACGGACCGCTCCAAGCTCAAATGCAGAAGGCGGTGCTCCTCGATACCGCCCGCATCGTCCGCCGGTTTCTTTCCCTTTCCCCTAACCCTCGGCCGTTTGGTCTCCCCTGCCGAGGGCTTCCATCTGGTTGGGTTTTTATATATTTATGTATTTTTTATGTATTTATTTTATTTTATTGATATTTATGTACGTTTACCATGATTATTTACAATTATATATTTATATTTCCCAACCAGATGAGAAAACTTTATAGATACCACATAATAATAATAATAAATATTTATTTCATTTCCAATTACACATGTTTACATACGGGAACAAATATGATTACAATAAATAAAGTAACAACAAGTCTAACAAAAATAATATGCTATGATAAAATTAAAACTATGTGTAGCTTAATAATGAAGCATTTACAAAAGAAAAATTTAAAAGTCAAATTTATAATATTAGCTACCCGAACTAGGTTGAGTGCCTGTATTTCAGACATCACTTACACAATGGGTTTAATAATGTAGGACATTAGATAATTTAAATAATAAAACTATATTATATAATAAATAAAATAACTAAATAACAATTATTTGTTACCTACAATGAGTACAAACTATTTTAGAATTTCTAACAACTTCTTGTGTCTTCGTTATTTAATTTATTCAGAAATTCCCTTCAGTTATATTACATTTCTTATAACTTACACTATATACCTTTAGTGACTTTTTGAGCTTTTAATATAGAAATGGTCCTAAAAATATGTAAAATCTGTTCACAAATGCGTGTTTGGTTTGAGGGTTTACTTAAACTAAGTCCATTCTTCCCCTGTCTATGGATTTTAAGTTAAATGGAAGTTCGGTATGCTGTTTTAATATGATGTTCAGGATAAACAACTGACGGACAGTTAGTACACTTCACGCCATGAAAGTTGATGTGTAGGAAACATGAATGGACGGAAAGTGGCTACCTTTAGAACTGCTCTCTGAGTACGTTCTAGTGGGAGCAATATTGTTTTGAAAGCACCATCCCAGGAAGTAATGCCATAAGTGAGTATAGATAATGGAAATAGCTTGGTAGTGTACACCTAGTTCTCAGGGGTTGTTATCACACATAAATTCCTTAATATTATTTATTATAATATTAAGGAATTTTTATAGAAACTTCGTTTCATAAAGTTTTTGAACTTGGCGGTGGACAAATTTTGTATATTCAGAAGGGTATAGAGATTTATTAGAAGTTAAATTAGTAGATTATATGATATACATTTTGTATATTAAGATGGATATATTTATAACAGAGAGTTAATATAAACGTAGAAGTACAGGCTTCTCATCTTAAGCTCAAATCCGATTGCTGTTTTTTTAAATAGTATCATTTAAAATTTTGTACAACCGACTTTAATATAAATTATGAAGAATAACTCAAAAACTATTGGTCAGACCTTGATCAAATTTATATGGGACCACAAGTGAAGCACCAGCTTTCAAATAAAAGAAGAATCACACATAAAAAAGCATATAGTCGAATTGAGTACCGGCTTCGTTTTTAAGTCGGTAGTAAAGCCTGTGCTTTACTTTAGCAATTCTATAGTAAGTGGTGGTATAGCCAAAGAAGATAAGCACACTGACTTATCAACGCAACAAGCTTAGTTGAATTCAAAAAGAAATGTATCAATGAATGAATGAACACTCTCGTCGTAATTGGATGGTAAGTCGACAGCGAAGCGGTGACTACAGGCCGAGTGTCTGATTGCTCGATGGTGAAAGGTAATAATAGAGGCAATAATAAAGTTATGAAATTAGTGCGCACAATCCTTAAGAATTAAAAAAAGATGTGAACACCTAAAACAAATGCTATTAACACTTCTAAACAATAATTTCTGAATTCAGAAATTTGTACAGCAAGTATTTTACGAATTTTGTTTTTTCTAACTGCTCTACAAAATATAAAGGTTTAAATATACCGTATCGGTAATAAATGTGAGTCTTTTCACATGACACAATAATTAGCTAATAGAATTTTTTACGAGATATAATAACTCGCATGTTGTTCCACTACATTCTTATAAACAATTATCGATTCTCGTCCGGATATTTAAATTTTATTACAAACCTTTTTATGTATATATTTTTTCTTTCTACTTTTTTGAACCTATATCTTTAGAGATATGCCAGCTCCAACATTCCCTAAGAGTCTCAGAGTATTTGTGACTAAAAGCACATAAAATATATAGCAAAAAAATTTAATTTTAGTTTCCTCAACAACGACTCTCTTTTACATAATTAATAATTATCACACTCTATCAACCAATGTTAGACATCCTCTAAGCATACTCTTCGCAGTTATGACAGCCAGTTGTCTTCATCAAAAACCCAAAATTCTTGATGGATATCGTATCGAACAAAGTCTAAAAGCTAACTTTATAAAATTTCTACATAGCTTTACATCGATTAAACCACGACACTTTTTATATATGTCGAGTATTGGAAACCGTTTTTGGAATGAATTATTGGTCCCTAAAGTTACAACAAATAAAATATTTTGATTTGCACGTCTGTTATGCATAGAGATTTTATCATGCAAATAGCATATACAAAAGCGTCGTAGAAAAAATGTTTAAACATTAGAATAAAACGAATTAATAAAGAAACCTTTTACGACCAACACAAAACATTAAAAACATAAAATAATACATGTTAAAAATAATTAACAGTTATGTGATATCACAAAGGATCCCATCAGTGATAATCTGTGGGGATAACAGCACGGGTTTTCGGTCGGGACCTTCATTGAAAGTCCACGAAAAACGAACATAGACATAATCACTCTAAAACTAAACAAAAGATGAATAATAACGAAAAAGTACTACGTACGAATTTAAATAACTCGATATCTGCAGACCAGGGAAACTTGAAATCTGGCATACTTTTATCCAAAGGTCCAGGGTTGGTTGTTAAAAATCTTACTTATCAATTTTGGGTTTTAGTTCACAATGCCATTAAAAGATTTCAATGTCATCCATGTTAAATTTTACAATAATTAGTTCGCATAACTTAAAGATGTTAAAATCAAATCTACGTAATAAATAAAATGAATTGTTTTAAAGAGCTTCTATCACCGTCACCAATAATTCAAACACTATAATGTAATTATGATGATAATTAATAAATAGTTCGAACAAATTAATGATATAAATTTTGATTAGCAAATATTCTCGTAAAGATAGAGTGATATTGTCTTACATAGTTTGAGAAGTACCCCTCTCACTCTCAATCGCGTGCACAATCACCGTCACCACCAATCCCAGCACCACGTAACAGGTAAAACATCAGCGTCGATAATTAAAAACGTGTTTTGCCTCTAAAGAAGGCATCATTAGGAAAAATAAAATATGTTCCTTGCAACGTTCCATAATTCCAAGTGGCAATATTTCAACATAGTATGCATGAAAGGAAATGGGACAGGCAAAAGCCGAGACTAAGTAATGAATGCGGAACTCATTAGTCTGTATACGGGACTATTTAATTATTACTATAAAAAGTGATATTTATACTATGTAAATACCAGAAACAAACACGTAGTCAATAATTTATAATGGGGCAATATAAGTACACGCTAATACAACAAATCCTCAAGAAATATACACGGTCGCTTTATTACCAATTTAAATATTTCATTGAACAAAAACTGTTTTAAAATGGTTATTCTAATATAAAATAATTAGTGACCGACCGAAGAATCGGTTTCGGTTTCGGCAAGTTTCGGCAAAAAAATCTAGTTTCGGTAATAGTTTCGGTTTCGGCAAAAAATCTGCCGAACCTTCGGCGGCGCCGAAACTCAGTGTTCGTGTGTTAGTTGTTTCGTTTGTCGTGCGTCGTTCGGATGAGTTCGTGACTCGTGTCTTAT